TTTCTAAATTGTAAATCTATTAAATTTCTGACTTAAATAAAAAGTTCGAAACTGAGTTTAGAAACTCGCATGTGGCCTTCACATGATATTTTTGGAACTTGAGTGTGACTTTACATGACATTTTTTGAACTCATTTTCGAACTGTTTCTGAACTTAAACTTTTATGAAACAGGACCGAACTGGACCGAACCGAACTTTTAACATCCCTATTTAAGGTCAACATTTATAGTGTGAGTCGGAAACGTGACATGAGGAAGGCACGTGACCAGTGAACTCGTGTATTTAAATACGGACTTACCGGTCAGAAATTCCAAGTCTCAAATACAGAAATATAGAAATCGATTCCGGTATGGTTACACGATTAATTGTCAAAAAAATAAAAAATTTAGCAAATTTTTTGCTTTCGTAACGTATTTAATAAATTTATGGTGAATTCACTTGAATTCCACAGCTTTTATGCCAATTTATCTAATCTTTACCTAGTAAAGGAAATCTGCTGTGGGATTCAAGTGGATTCACCAGCTATTACTAAAGTACGTTATGAAAGGCTAAATTTTTTATTTCATTTTGTATTACAAACGAACCACTCGATGACCTTATACAAAGAGTATTGTAAATTGTATAAAAAGATTGTTAAAATTAATCGTGTAACCATACCGGAATTGACTTCCATATTTTGGGGGATGTCTAAGGCAGAGTAGATTCTTATTGAATAAATTTAGGGGTAGGATTAATTTTTGCTATTTTAATAGAGGATATTGTCCTTTACAGGGTTTATAGCAAACATAAAGTTCACATTCACTTTGTTCAAGATATTCATGTAAAGAATAAGGTTTTTTGCATTTTTTATTTGATGAATTGTCAAATAATGATTCTATAGTTAAAGGATCTACTTTTAGTTCTTTTTGCAAAGAATTACATATTTCATTATATAAAGGGTCTTGTTCTTTAATAATATTAGTATTATTGTTAGTAATATCTATAATGCAAAAATTTAATACTCGAAAGTAAAAAATTTCTCTTTAAATAAAAAATTAATTTATTATATTTATTTTATATATTTTTTTAATGGCTTTGTCTTTCATATTATTTTATGATTGAATTAATAATAATATGATTAATATGAAGTTCAAACACTGTTCAAACAATAACCAAATTTTCATAATAAAAAATAATAAAACCATTTAAACAAAACTGTTTGCCAAATTAAGAACAATAAACTGTTTGAACAAAAACTGTTTACCAAATTAAGAACAATAAACTTTAAATGTGAACTAATTGTCAAATTAAAAACAATAAATTAGTTTAGAAACATCAAACAAAAGCCATTTGCCAAATTAAGATTTATATGCAAGTTTGAAATTTGTATCTTTTCTAATTTAAGTTTAAACTGAAGTTTTGAACAAAAATTGAACTGCAAACTTCATAAACACAATAAACAGTTCAGAACTTAAGTTTTCTTGAACTATTTAACATCCCTAATAAACTTGACTACTGTATATATATGTACATTGTGAAGGGTCCAGATAGAGTGCGCCAGGGCGACCACCAAAAGTCCGACCACATGATCTGTGTGCTACAGCCGCAGTACATAGGTTTGATATAAAAGGTTAGTTACGTTGCACAACCTTTTTATTAACTTGAACTCTTCATATCGATATCTTTTTGCTTATTACAACTTTTATTAATCTCTTAAAGAGACCTTTACATCAAAGACACAAAAAGTTTCTTCTATATAAACGCTCCATATCCCTATTAGTAGCATAAAAATGACAATTATCATAGAATTTTTGAAAGCTTAAACTGCATTCCTCTTTCACGTAGAACAACTCCACAAATTTACATAGCTCTAGGCCTTTGGCAGTATATTGATAGTCACGAAATTTATATTCTTCTTTATCATCATCTGAATCGTGTAATCTTTCATATAGTAAAATTATGTAATCCATTTTCACGAGTAATTCATACTCGTAAATAAGCACAGTAAAAAATTCAATAAATTGTTTAATTCGATTAAATTCTCTATTATGAGTGTTATAATCTTCCATATACTCAGGAATTTTGTCTATAACTATTAGTTTCACCATGTATCATATACTAGTAATCAATCGTTCATAGACAAGCAGGAGAACGTACTTCATACGATCTTTAAATTCACTGCTATCATAAATATTTTCGATTAAATCACTGCAAATCTTTACAACTGGGTCATCCATTTCATTGAATTTTATTATGAGTTTGAAACGTGTATATTATGGAACGGTCAAATATGCTCGATCGAAATTTTATTTTTTTCAAAATGTGCAGTACTGTATCGTTTGGTGTTTAGACTTATACGATTTTTTTACAATCATTAAACAACTATACTAAAATTATCAACTTTGCAATTGTTATTTAAATTGCTTTTATTCAAATAAAATTAGCTCGACCAAAGCTAATTCATTACATTTAATAACTATTTGTTCGCATAAAAAGGCTAATTTATTATATAATTATCAAGATTTCTTCGCACTAACCTAAATAATCTATAGTCGAAATAGCACAGCACAATAAAAATGTTACAAAAATGATTAATTAAATTTAAACAAAAGAAAAGCCACGGTTTATTAAAATATTATACTTAGCATAAAGACAATGTCTAAAAATAGCGTTTTACACAAGTAGAGAAACCCCACGACAATTGTTTAGTGTAATCGAATCAAGCTAGTAAACCTAGTAAATTCACAGCACAATAAAGATTTTACAAAAATGATTAATTAAATTTAAATAAAAGAAAAGATACATGTTTATTAAAATATACTTAGCATGAAAACAATGTCCGAATAGAGGAACCTGCGCGTTTTGATTTATCAAATTGCAATTGTTCTTGCCCTAACATAATAATATTGTAATTAAATATATATTTTTTTATCAAGCATAGCAGACAATTACCATGCTTTAATATCCTTTCATTAAGCACTACAAATAATTACCTATCTAGTCCTTCACAATAGCATGTATATCTTATAAATATCTATTGTAATGGACGAAATATCAAATAAAATTTTTAACTATTAGATTCTTCTATTAATCTTGAGATTATATACCTAAAGCTTTATCCATATACTAAACATATTCTTACAAAATAGTTGGTTGCAGCGACTGTAGAGTTGACCATCCCGATGAGCAATTCATATGGGGTAATACATGTCACAAGACATGTATTCAATGTAATGATAAACATGTAAAGAGAAGAGAGAAAAATAAGAAAGAGAGTCAAATACAGAATCAGAAAACCCCGATCACGAACGTTGACCAAGTTGATAACGGTGCACATGCTGAGATTGACTATCTCAAAATTGGAGATTTTGTTAAACACGAAATTCGAGAGTTAGCAGATGATGCAGAAGTTAATGAAATAGAGGATATAATTTACCAAACTTACTAGACAAATTTTTTAGTACATATTAATGTAGCTATTCAAAACATGATACCAAGAGAAGTGGCAGATCTTGTAATTATTGAGATTGAAAGTGGTGATGATTATTCATGGAAGTAAGTGCTAATTTTGTAATAAATTTTTTTTATTTATTTTTTTATCATAATATTAATTTTTTTTTTGCATAATATCTAATAAAACTATTATTTTAGTTATAAAAAGGCGGACTTATCAAGAAAATTTGGCTCAGTTGGTACGTTTACATACCTATGTTGTCAGTCGAATGAAGCGCAAAGCGAATTGTATAAAGACTCAAACTGTAAACGATGTGAACGTTATAATTGCGGAGGTAAGATTACAGTAAAGGTTGACATAACACTTGGTGTAGCAATGGTGAATATATACCATGGATTCCTTCATCTACGCCCAGACTTAATTGCTGAAATGCCTGATGAACTTAAGGAGGAGATAAATACACACGCGCATCTTATCACAGCCGAATTAGTAAATCACCTACAATGCAAAAAATTTGATATCTCAAAATATTCGCATAAGCGAATATATTACTAGAAATTTATTGCAAATCAAAATAGATTTCAGCGTCACAATGACCCTGTTGAGTCGGCACTTAGACTGCTTGATGAATATAGTAATCTGGGCTTTCACTGGTGCTTATATATCTAAAATTAAGAGTCAGTCGCCATTGGATTTACTACACCATTATTAAATAAAATTAAAGACCAAGGTATTAATATAGTTTGATATTTATGATCTTTTTGACAATGCTATATATTGTTGAGTGTTTTGTATTAACACCTTTTTTTTATATACAATATTGAAGGTATTAATCTAGCAAAAATGTATATGGATGCAACTTACAGAACCGCAAGAGGACGATACGAATTATATAGTGTTGTAGTTGACGTTGAGGGAGCTGGCTTCCAATTGCTTATATAGTAATTGATACAACAAAGGTAGAAAATATGAATACTAGCACCAGAAGGCATTGTAAGATCTTGGAACAATTTTTAATGGCTATAAAAGAAAGTGGTATTGAACCAGACTTTGTATTTACAGATAAAGATTTTGGGGAAATAAATGCGGCGACTAATGTGTGGGGACCATTGAAAGTTCAGCTCTGCCTTTGGCATATGGAAAGAGCATTAAACCAAAAATTAGTAGAGAAACACAAAAAATCCAAAAACTCAAACTTAATATCTATAACTTACAATGTGGATCAAGTGGCAGATAAATTTGGTTTTATTGACCCCACGTTTTATTCAACAGAATATGACTGAGATCCACAAAATTATATCATTTGACCAATAACCTATCATGAACAAATTATAAAATTGGTTAGAAAACATTATAGTATGCACCTACTAATACCATGTAAGTTAAATTTCTATTAAATACACATCACTGATTATATGGGATCCTTGCCTTAAAAATGGCCTTACGGTATCATATACTGTAAGGTCATTTTCAAGGCAAAGACTCCATATTGACATTTTTGAGACATTAGTAAAAAATATATATATATAAAATATTAAAAAAAATTTTTTTTAATAATGTCTTAAAAAATATCGAGTATTGTATATTTATTAATTAAATATAAGAGTCTAATTTCTCTGCACTATTTTCTTTTTTCATCCAACTACCAATCTCGGGTAATAGTTGATACTCAAGGAGGCACGTTGTCACCGGATGAAATAAGAAGAATTTCTGTAAATAAAATGTATTAATTTTGTGTTGAAAATAGTTTGTGAGTTTTATGGGCATACCTCTGGACCAATTGGTATTCGCCTAGTCGATGGCACCTCTGGGCATGCTCAGTTAAACCTACAGTACCTCTTAGCAAAACTACGATGAAAATCGAAGCATACTGGAGCGTGATTAAATGATGTTACTTACATCATTTTAGTAGTCCTAGACTAGACCTTATGTTTTGGACTCTGCTTAACGAAATAATACCAACACAAAATGATCGTCTTTCTCAAGTTCTAAATAGCACAATAAGCCCATGTTGGTGGGAAGCTTTCAAGAGAGAGTGGAATTACCTGGGTGCAAGTGACGAACATCAGATAGAAATATGTGTAGATAAAAATAATAAAGGCAAAAAAAAACTAGCTGATTCACAGTCAACTGACTTGCTTGGATCATATTTTACAGAAGTTTCTTATTGGGTTTGTAGTTGTTCTGCTTTAGTTGTAAGTCATTTTTTAATATGTAAATACTTGGTTCGGCAGGTTATAAACATGCCTAATGGAACAAGGTGGCGGTTAATTAAAGAAGATTTTGAATGCCAGACTACACCACCTTTTCTTATTATAAAGAACCTCAATTATGATGAATTTATAAATCCTATACCTATGACCTCTGCCATTTTCTCTTCAGAAGCTTTCAATAATATTAATGAGGATCCAGAAGAGGAAGTTCGTACTTATGTTAAGGAGAAATAGCCTCTAATTGAGAGGGCGATAAAGCGGATCCGTACTGAATGATCGGCTAATAACTGGCGCCATGTCCGTGCAATAATAGACTGGAGCAGATTAGCAGATATGGAAGAAGAAATAGAATTAGTAGAGAGAAAAAGGCATAGACAGGCTACTTGGGCTCCGGTAAATAAAAAACCATATTTAATGTATTTACCTCTTTCGAATGAATCAGAAATAATAGAAAGCGATACAACTAATAATAATAATATAAATTAAAAAAATAAGTAAATTAGTAAGAGTAAAGAGATTAAATATTTATTTTTTAAAAAAATTAATATACCAGACATAAATAAATATTTACATACTTTAATGTATAAATTTTATACCTCAATAAATTTTCTATCGCTCATACAGTTTTCGTCACTTATACCAGACGTAAGCGATCTATAAAATATTAGTTAAATCGTTTCTTTGCTTCTTTTTAAATAATCAGAGTTCATAAGAACTTGCAAGAATGGATACTTATTCAACATATATTTTAGAAAGAGTTGACCGTTTAATCAGAGGGTCACACAACTAACCTTTTATATCAAACCTATGTACTGCGGCTGTGGCACGCGGATCATGTGGTCGGACTTTTGGTGGTCGCCCTGGCGCACTCGTCCAGATAACTAAGATCCAACATTTTTATTATTATTATATATATATCAGTTTATTCTATCTGTTATTATTATATTATTAGTTAGTTTTATTTTTGAAGTTGGAATAGTTGCTAAAAATAGGAATTTCATACCTTGGTGCAAATTGTACCTGGGGCAAATTGCACCTACTCATTCAATGCCAGGTGCAATTTGCACCTAGTCAACTAAGCCAGGTAAAATTTCACACTGAAACAATTTTTTTTTTTTTTACAAAACTTGTTGACATTGGTACCTGCCAATATATTAGAATAGCGAAAGTTAGTATACATATGTTCATGTACACAGTAAAGGTCGAAAGTATATAAGACCGATCTTTTCGCCGTAATAAAAAAATATAACTAGTAGGAGTTCTTAACTTCGAAGTCCTTATAGTAGAAGTTGGTTCTCTAATAAAGTTTTCCACTTGTCTCAAAAATCTTGTCAAAATTCATTTTTCATAAATACTTGTCCCTGTGATACTCATAGAAGTCGCTATTTTTGTGTTGTAAGAGTAAAGGGAAAGAAACTATCGAATTAGTAATCTAGACCCTATTTATACCCCAAATAAAATAAACTTTGATCGAATATCGTCATACTCTTCATTGTTCATCGATTACGTCTAACAATCGAAATTATTCAAGTCTCGTGACACGTGACCTCGATACGAAGAGCAGATTTGAAAAATAAACGAAAGGTCGATAAATACTATAGCTCTTATATAACAACCCTTGAGTAACGACTTAATAGAACTCAGAAAAGACTTACTTGACCGGTATATTGACTCTACAAGGCCCAAGCTCTAATAACTCGGACCAAGTTTCTCCACGCCTCAATCGTCCACGGCTTTGATTACTATTATTTTATTTTTTTTAGTAGTTAGATAGGTTTTAGTTGTCACCATCTTATTTCTCACTTTTACAACGTACGTATAGGGATGTTACGGTCCGTCCCGGTCCGGTCTTGGTCCTAAAGACCGGTCCTACCAGAGGACCGTGGACTGGACCGTGGTCTAGGACCGGTCCATAAACCGGTCCATTGGCAGGTTTCGAAATAAGCTATGTGGTTTTAATGATCGCTGAAGACCTTATAGCTATCTTGCTAATGACCTAATAATGCAGTAGAATAATCCCAATGATTTGTCGTAACTAGTTGCGACATAAGTTTTTAGTTAGTTACGGCTTAAGCCGTAACATCATTGGAACGATTCTACTGCATCACTACAATAACCGAATCGACAAGTTACTAGATTATGCTGACATTGGAAATTTATAGATATATAAATTATATATATATTTTAGCCAATAAGATCATTCTATTGGCTATGAATTGGTCCAGACCGGTCCTCAATTTAGGACCGAAAACTGGTTGGACTGGTTCAAAAGACCGGTCCGGACCATGGTCTTTGTAGGACCGTTTAACATCCCTACGTACGTACGTACATATACTGGCGTTATTGTATTTATTTGGACTAAATGCCGGTAAATAATTTAGCGTTAGTGATGCAGGGGATTATTTACAGTACACAGAGCTTAACCGATTATATAAATTTTCTGGCCATTTACTACATTGTTTAGTGTTTTTCTGATTCATCAAAATAGGTAAATCTAATCGAACTAACAATGGCAATAAATAATGAATAGTAATTTTAAATTTCATTACTATTCTTTTTTCATTAAAATTCGCAGTGAAATATGTTGAGCGAAAGTGTATGTAAAAGTTAAATCAATTATCATTAGTAATTAAAGGTTACAAGTATTAAACTTTATGCAATAAAAAAGAACATGATAAAACTAAAGACCACACTAATTCATATAAAAAAATCAAGATTTAAATGTGCTGCTTGAACATATAAAATTTGTGTTCATTGAAATTTAAATACTGTTTTACTATATAAACTTATGTTGTGCAGTTGTTTTAAAGTAACGCCCAATAAAATTTCCGAATCGAACTGATGATAAATTGTTTATGTATGTAAGCTAACTTTACAAACTACTTTATTCAAAGATGTTTATTGAAATAAAATATAAAAATAGTAAATATTTGAAATTTTAAATTTTTTTTTTATTATAAATATGCATTAAATTTCCCTCCTATTTGTATGGACGACTGCGGTGATCATTTATTACTCGAACAAGCCATTACTTTTATTTTCCAAGTAAGTTGATTGATCACTAAAGTATATTGCATATTCACTAATTGAAGTATTCAACATAAACTTTTATCACTTTTTAATTTCATATTTTTATTTAGTATATGTTAATTCTCTTATTCAAGCTGTCTTAGTCAATAGTATAATGATCTTCTATTAGCCAAAATGTTTAAAAACAAGTTATCCGTAAGAAATGCCGGTATGTTAGTTCTTTATTAATTAATTAATTTATAACAAAAAACGTATTTATATAATTTATTTTCAATTAGTAGTTACAAGATACATAAAACCATTGATAATTTCATTTAAAGACTAAGAACCACTTGAATTAGTCAAAAGACTGGACTAAATCATAGTCATTAAAGATCGCAACATCCAATTAACATACAGTATTACGGTAAAATGAATTTGAAAATCCCTATCAAAAAAAAATCAAAAAAAAAATCAAAAAAAAAATCAAAAAAGAAAAAAATCAAAAAAGAAAAAAAAAATCAAAAAAAAAATCAAAAAAGAAATTAAAATTTGAGAACAAAGTTACAAAATACAAGAATAGTAAAAATCAAATAATAAGACTTTATATGTAATAAAGGATCTTCGAATAAAATTTAATATATGAGTGCGTGAGAGTGAAAACCTGGAACTTATCATAGTAAATCATTATATGCAGCTCCAGGTTTTCACTCTCACACACTCATATATTGAAAATTTAGCTTCTTCAAAAACCAAAAATAAGTGAGCAAAGAGATGATGAAAGTATATGATATGTAAAATTTAATTCAGAGAAATTAGGATCGTTTTCTCAAAAGGTAAGAATTAAAATTAAACTCGCAAAGATAGAGTTCAAAGTGTGAAAAAAAAAACTGTACACAAAAAAAAAAAAAGTAGAAGTTCATCTAAAATAAATGTCAAAAATATGCATACTAAAAAAATGACAAAAAATATTTACATAAAATCTAGAGGTGAATCAAAGAGATAATAAACATAAAATTTATATGAAAAAGAAAATATATTATCTATTGAATAAAAAGGAAGAAATGAATGAATGTACGTCCTGTCTAAAAGTTCTTAATGTTGGCGTAAAAAATGTCCTCATTATTAATAAAAAATGGTATTGGAAAATAATAAATTTTTTGTTAATGAACAAAAAGAGAAAGGTCTATATTCTATCGTTTTCTATTGATTTTATCGTTGTTCGAAATATTGTTTTAAGAGAATAATAAAGTAAGTTCTTATCATAAAGTGTATAAAAATCGGGAACACATAACTATATTAGCATAATAACTTAAACCCCCCAAAAAACCAAAAATGTTCATCTTAGCTTCTTATATTGTTAAAAAAAAATAAAACTGGTGATCGAAAATCAAGACCGATGCGAATAATGAAACGAATATCAATAAAAACCAAAATCTACAACTGAAAATGACGATAATTTAATGCTTGCTTAAAAATCATCATCTCTTGTTGTATTTATAGCTGTAGTCATTCTTGTTACTCTTTCACTTTTTTTTTTTTTTAAAAAAAAAAGGACAAATCAAATTTTAGAAGGCAAGCATTGCTTGTCGAGAGAATAGTAGGACCCCGAGCTATACATAGATAGGTTAGATCCAAGTTTGCTTATTTTTGTATAAAATTTGCTTCAAAAATGCTTATTTTTGACCAAAACTTAAAAATTTACTATGTAAAAAAGCTATATTTATTGAATTTCTATCAAAATTTTCCTTTTTTAGTAACCTCTAACCTATCTATGTATAGCTCGGGGTCCTAGAATAGTCTCCGAATTCGTTGAAGATTTATATTAACATAAAATGTTCACTATGTTCACTTAGATTATAGGAATTTGTCATATCCTTCTATTTATGAAATTCTGTGGCGGAATTGATAAGTATGGATTAATTTCTTCTGAATTATCCATTGAAATGGTTTGGGGATCCGTGATGGAGTTGATAAGAGATGTTGAATCCTCCAACTCAGGCGATGACATTGATGTGGCTTGAGGATCAGTGGTAAAATTGGCAAGAGGTGACGTATCACCTAATTCAAACGATGGTATTGATGTGTCTTGAGGGTCCGTACTGAAATTGACATAAGGTGATAATTCATGCGGTGACATTAATGTGGCTTGAGGGTCTGTGGTGAAATCGACAAAGGGTGATGCATCCCCTAATTCAAGTAATGGCGTTGATGTGGCTTGAGGGTCCGTAGTGAAATTGACATAAGGTGATAATTCAAGCGGTGACATTAACGTGGCTTGAGGGTCTGTGGTGAAATTGACAAAGGGTGATTCATCCCCTAATTCAAGCAATGACGTTGACGTGGTTTGAAAATCGATAAAAGGTGAATTAAGCGACGACACTGGCGTTTGAGGATCTGTGATAATATCAGTAAAAGGTGATGCACCACCCAATAATGGCATTGACATCGCTTGAGAATTAATTAGAGGTGATGATTGATTAGATGAATTATTTGATGCGTCATAATTGAGATATGTGTAAGAGCCAGTTAATGATAATATATCTATAGGAGATGTTGATCTTAAATCTGCGGAATTCGGAAAATTTATTTCTGGAAACTGTAAAACTGGCTCATTATCTGAATGCATTGAAACCACAAAAATTGGACTCGGAGAGCGTGAAGAATTTTGATTAGCATGTAAGCCAACTCCAAGTTCATGGTTTCTGTCTTCTCTTCTTATTTGTCGGTTCACACGACTTGGTGAAGGTTGTCTACTGGTCTCAGGTGACCGAGTTCTAGGGAAATTTTGTCTGTTGACTATTGCTGGGGACAACATTTGTTCGTTATTTATAGTTGAAAAGTTTCTGATTTGCAAAGTTTCTTGAGTTGAATTTACTGATATTGGGTCGCTATTTGACGGATTTGATTGAACTAAACTATATGATATTCGCACATTACTTATTCCTAAAGGGTTTTCAAGTAAATTTCCGCTTTGATCGTTGGTTACTAGAGAGCTCTCAATAAAACTTCCACTAAATATAGCTCTTTCGCCATTTGAAAGGTTTTCATCCAAACTAGGCAATGTTTGTTCATTATTTGCTGCTAAAGAAATCCCATATGAATTTATGTTTGACCGAGTTTCTTGAATTAAGGTCTCTAAAGGTTGTCCATTTCCACTTAGAGATCGCAAAAATGCTGCACCCAATGTTTCTAAATTTGACCTGGTTTTAGATGGTGTACTCGATCCAGTTGCTTTTTTAAGGCCTTTAGGACCCCTCTTTTTTTGTGGGTTGGATATACATTCGCGGTTATTATTGATGCATAGCCTGCATCGGCCACCGCTTAAATAGACGCATTTAACCTTTTTTTCTCTGCAGAAATTACAAGATGAAGAATTTTTAGTTCTTTTATTCCCAGAGGCAGGTTGCTTATCATCGTTCGGGTGATTATTTTTAGAACTTTTTGTAGATGAATTTTGGAACATTTTTCGGGAGATATACAGAAGGTATTTTGAAATCGTGTAACAATATACATATATCTATTAAATATACAAAATAATACTATATATTCTCCCGGATATTTTTAACGGAGTTATCCACTGATTAAAACATTCTGAAAAAATATTATTAAAATAAAACGCATCGAATAATTCTGAAATACCTGTTCGTGGAAAACTTAAACAAGAATTTATAGATAAAAAGATTTTTTTATCCTTTTTTTTTTATTATCGGATCAATTGGATAAATTTTGATTTGCTAATATTACCATGTAACCATATGTTCATAAAGATTTCTTATTATAATTATTGAATATTCGAGAATGCAGATCAAGATCTTTTTTATGTAACAGAAACAGCATGTATTACATAACAGTTCTTTCGAATGGTTACAAGTTACGAAATTAGAATAAAAATATTTGGTTAATTATGGCAAAAATCTTAACTTTATTCGGTGTGTTGCATACGTATACGTATTCCGGAGCAAACCATCATAATTTCTAATAGCACTTTACATATGGGATCTTTGCTAGGAAAATCACCCTTCGAGCTATTGTTACACAAGATTTTAATTAGGAAAATCATAATAAATCTATTTTTAGAAAAAAAAATTCCTAGCAAAGATCCCATATATATAGTACGTATATACTGTTTATTAAACTACAGTATAAACTTGTATTTAGTTGAAGGTTCATATGCATTCTGATGGCCGAAATTATTTTAATATATCTAGCAAAAATTATAAAAAATGTAGTTTTGGGCATTTGAATCCATTATGCTATTTTATTATGACCACTGGAAAATGCGCACCGAACAAATGACAAATTTGAATATTGATACATAAATCTCTCGAAAATTATTTATAATCCCTCCATTTCGAAAATAAATTGGTACAAAATTTTTATTTTCGATTTTCATTTTGCTTTAATTTAAAACCAGAACAATTATAAAATTAGATTTAAGGCAAAACATAGGATTAATACTAACAAATTAAATTATTAAGTCATCCTATGCCATTCTTCCAGGAGAAAGTACCCTTTCAAGCATAGTTGACTGGAATGGCTGTTGACGATAAAAATTTTCAAGTCGTTACTAATCATTTAGGCGTGACATCTTAATTTCTCAATTTTAGCTAAACAAAATTTATCTGAGTGCACGTTTTGGGATGCATGTGCACTTAGAGAACTACTGTGTAACACTGCGTAACTGATAAAGTGCGTACGTACGTACCTGGGATTTTAATTCCGAGTTTTAACCATGGAAGTATATCTTTTCAGATTTATTAACGGTACTAATTTTGTTTAACAAAATACAATAAGTTCAGGGCACAAAATTTCCGGATGATGTAATCTGCTTTTTTTTGCTTTTTTGCCGGCAATATTCTTTTTAATCGGAGGTTAAGATATAATAGCCAATGAAATTTGTCTAAGTAACGTAAATTTTCCGGCCGATGAAAAGTCGAGCCGGAAATTGTCTTACGTCATAGACAGAAGTTCGTCTGATTGGCTAATAAATTCAATTTAATTTTACATTATTTATACAGTTTAAAGTACTTT